AAGTAGAACATTCCGCGCATTACCCCAAAAAAACCCCAGAGTGCAAACACATAAAGATGTCTCAGGGTTAGAACGCGTTTCGCGAAACTTAGGGAATTAAATTTTTGCGAAATACACACGCGAATATATAAATCGAATAAAAAACTTGTTGTCGCTTTTGTTGGGGGTCGCGCGAAGGTAAAAAAACGTTCTCCGACCTCGTACACGTGTAACAATTAACGAGATGAAGAAATTCTCGATTGCTTTATTAACGCGGCCAAGAATGTCGCCGTTCTCTCGCATTCTCGCGAGAAGAGAAGCGCGACGAGCGGCAGCGGTTACACCCGTGTCGCGCTCGTTTGTAATTGCGGCGCGGTGTTGGCCCCACACACAGCGTGAGACTCTTTTGCGCCATGTTTCTGTCAGGACTACACAAAACGAGAGAGAGAGAGAGGATGAAAGAGTATAGAAAGGAAAAGGACGAGCGAGAAGAGACGAGATTTTCACAGACTACTTTGCGTGCGTTCTAAAACTTCGCGTGCAAAAATCGGTCATACACACACACACACACACACACACACACACATTTCGTTATGACGTATTGCCTAACGATCCCTCGGCGCTTTGTCCGACGACACCGCATTCTGCGCGCGCTTCATTCACCTGGCGCCCGGACGAGCGCAGATTAATTAGCCAGACCGGATTAATTAATTATGGCGACCCTCGACGAGAATTCGACCCAGGGGCGGCGCTCCGTTATAGCACGAAGCTCCCGACATCGAGAGCGTGAGTTCATTTCAAAGACTCGAGACCAAACTTAAAGAGATTCGTTTTAATCAGATCGCTCGTGTATTAATTAGCATATGTATGTAAGTGTGTAATATCTCTTTACGAGTGTAACCTAGTTGTAAGACAGAACGAGATTCTAAAGGCCAACGCGTAAAATGTAATATCTCAGTGTCAAATTTTTGCACTGAATTTTAAATCAACAATTTCCAAAAAATTGTAAATTAATTTTTTTTTCGACAATTTTTTTTTTCTACCGCTAGTTTGCATTCCGCAATTTATCCCGCGCGCGCTCGATGATTATTATAATTACTATCTATACATATAATATATGTGAAGATAATACTGAATTGCAGTAATACTGATTGCTAATTAATTTATTACCGTTTCGTATAATAATATAATTTACGTTTCGTTAAAAAGATTTGTGTACACGTGTATGTGCGATAATGTAATTTAAAAAATATACAATTAAAATAGTAATTAGAGAAAATATATATCAAACGCGTATATATATTTACGCGTCGTTCACAAGAACGTGATATGTCACAAAAGTATACAGATCAAACGTGTTTGCATCTTGTGTGGATTTTAACTATATTCAGACTCTATGCGAAACATCGGTTTCCTCTCTAACGAGTAGAGAAGCTGAAGTTAAGGACTTTTGGAAGGATCTGTCGGCGTGATCGTGCAAATTGAGTTTGCCCCGTCTGCTTATAAGAGCCTCGATAATAAGAAAGTGAAATTTAGCTTACACCGTGCACCTGCAGGCTTTCAAGTTACTCTATAATGTATTATTTCTATCTCCACTCAGAGGAAATAAAAAGAAAACATTAGCCCGGAGACTTACAGATAAATTGTCAAGTACAAAGTAATTACTGCGCACTTAATTCTTTCGCAGACTCTCTCTCTCTCTCTTTCTCTCTTTTGTTATACATATTTTAATTTTGTTTTTATATATCATTGAACTTTGTTACTTTTGTGCGCTTGAGGGGATTATCCCAAAGAGCGCAATATAAATAAAGCAGTCTATCTATCTATCTATCTCTCTCTCTCTCTCTCTGCTACACGAAAAAAAGTTCAGTTTTGCTGTTATGCGATCGGCAAAAAAATGGTTGACCTTACTGTGGTTTTTGTTTCATAAACAAACAGTTTTGTCGGCAATATCTCAATAGTTTTAACCAATTTTTTGCCAGCCAAACGGTAACTAATTTTCAGCAAATTTCTTTTTTCACATGTGACTCCAAGTATAAAATTGAAATTCAAACGTTGAAATACCAAACGTGAAGAGCAATATGTTTATAAAAAAAATTTGCTCTCAAGCTAATTCGAACGAAATCGAGATAACTTTATAAAAAAAATTGACGTCACGTGAAAAATTTATATAAAAATACAAAAAAACCAAAACAAAATGCAAAAACTGTTTCAGTTCTAATCGACGAACGTCGTAGCCATAATTTAATAAGCACGCGGTTTTCAGCTGAGAGAGAGAGAGAGAGAGATAGAAGAGAAAGCGAAGGACGTTCGGAAGGACCTGTCAGTTCGTTGTTGTAATAATGGAGCAGTGAAATTTCCTTTATATTGCGCGCGCGCGCGCGAACTAGCCTTTTAGCGAATATATATAGGCTCGGCTGAACCGAGCCTGTCAACAACAACGAAAAGGCAATAACGATAATCTGACAAGTGCGTGTCATTGCCGACATGACGTTGCTGACAGCCAATGATTTTCAATCTTACGATTATTAAACCGCGTTATGCGATATTCCAGTTTCGCGTAACATAACAAATGGACGCGGAAGAGGCAAATGTATCCCCGGTATTCGAGCGTATCGCGTATATGTGACGTCGGATGTATTACAAATAACATGAATACTCGAGGCATTTCCATATTAAACTATTCACGAACTGTCTGAAATCCTTTGACGCGAAATCAAAGTTTAACGCAATTCCCCGCGAATATTCCGCGATGGTTGAACTATTTTTTTAATTTCGAAAATCATTTTTATCCGGAGTTCTTACTCCTGTGGATATGCAAACATGGGATGTGCGAAAAAGATAAACATTTTCGTAAATCCGAAAACGAACGCCGAACAATATATCACCGATGTCGAGCGCGCGCGTACGTGTAATGAACCGTATTCGTACAACAAATAAAAAGTTATCGCACGGAAAACGTTCCTCATGACGTCGGCGACTGCTATGTAAATTTGAAAAAACTGCGCTTTTCCTGGCGCGTCGAGAGACGACGAGAGCGATAAAAAAAAAATGGCGCTGCATGTGCGCGCGGGAGCGACATGCGTGGAAACGCGCCAAAGAGTTTGTTCGATTCGGGAACGGGAAACCCCCGAATCGATGACGGAGGAGAGATGCGTAACCCTCTCCCGCGAATGGTAATAGTGTCGTTCAATTAAGCGGCAAAACGCTCGGAAATATATAGTCGCGAAAAAGTTTCACAACCATGGTGTTTAAATGCGAAAAACGATTTCCAATCAAAATCCGATTCACGCCCAAGTTAATTGCTAGAGTGTGTCGCGCGCCGAGAGATGAACATTTTGCATGCAAACATTTTCCTCATTTGTGTGTTATATAGTTTTTCTTTTTTTTTTTGTACAACATTCACGCAGCGGCTTTTATACGCGCGGCGCTCTCTATCGCGCACTTATAAATAAACGTGGAATATCGTCGGCTATTTTTATTGCATAAAAACAACACGCGGGCGGAGGGGAGGCGTCAGGATTTACATCCCCGCGTTTTTAAAATCAATATTAACGAGACAACAAAACAGCGGAGAACAAAAACTTTTCGCAAATTTTTTGTCACGCGATATATTCGACCCGTTATCATTGAGATAAAAAAAAAAAAAAAACTTGCCAAGAGAGCCTGAAGAAGAGAGATTGCTTGTTAAACAACTCAACGGTCTTAACAAAAAAAAAACAATAGACCGTTCCGTCGCGAGATGAGAGTAGCATCAGCTCGCGGGTGCTATCTCTCCGAGCTATTGAAATTTTCCCGAGAGTTCGCGAAAATGACCCTTCACTCGAAAACACATTAGAACAATTTTCGTGCCGAGCGCAATTTTGTGAATTTCGACGAAATTTACCGCCGCGCGCTGCGTATCTCGCAACGAGAGCGAGATACTATTTGCAATCGCCCTTTTCCTTTTCTACTCCGAATAACGAACTGTGTGTGCGAGAACTTGGAGCGCGAAATCCTCTCGTAAGTGGTGCGCGCTACTTTAAAGAGAGGAGCGGCGTTGATCACTTTTTAAGATAAATAACGACGGCGAACAAATCCCGACAAGGGGGGGGATGGGAATAAATTGCGCGCTCCAATATTTAAACGAGAAATTATAATTTCGTTTATATGTTCAAAGTCACGCGCGCGAAATCGCGAATATATACCGCAACTTGAGACTTTGATTATTATTATTTAAAGCGCAAAAGAATAAATGTGACAATCGATCGGATGTGGAGCAGAATTATTTTTGTGTGTTTATCCTTTGCGAATATAGAATCGTTTCTTCATTTGCAATCGTTTCTCCGATGCAAATGTCAGTTTCAATTTTACGTACCTGTCGGTTCAAATGTCAGCTCATTCTACTTATTCCTAACGTCTGTCTAAAGAAAATTGTGTGTGTCTTACATTTCACATTCATTGATCGCAAGACCTAACTATAAATTTTCTATACGCGCGCAAAAATTTATCAGCAACTTTTCAAATTATGCAAATATTGTATACCTCAGCGTTATTTCATCGTTCTCGTGCGATTCAAAATTACCAATACGTTAAAAGTGAAATATAAGACTTCTCTTTTCGCATGTTTGTTCTGATTTAATTGCCCTTCGGGATTTCAAGAAAGAAGAGCCGCTTGAACGCGAAGAGAAATGCGAATGTTAAAATAAGCCGTTGATTGAATAAACATTCTCACAATTTTTTTAGCAACTTTTCAAATTGCGCAAATATTGTATGTACCTCCGTTGGATCTCATTGTACTGTCGCGTCGTACGATTCAAAATTATCAATACATTAAAAGCAAATTTAACTGCTCTTCCGGATTTCGGAAGGAAGATCCGCTCGAACGTGAAGAATAATGCGAATTGTTGAGACAAGCGGTTAAATGAACAAACGTCCCTGTGTTTCGACCAAAACCTTTTGTCGACGTAAATTATCAACATTCAGAGGTTTAACGCGCGCGATGTATCTGCAAAATTATATATAAAAAAAACATGCCGTACCTAATACTCTCTCTCTCGAGCCTCGTGAATCAAAGTGTTCGGCGGTGATCCACTATCCCTGGATTCTCGGACCTCGTCTAAATCTCTCTCCCGCGGATCACACACGCGGCCGGCTCCGGGACGCCGATATCGGAGTCCCCCGCGGCAATCGAAGAAGGTGGTGAAAACAAAAAACGTCGCACGCGCGCGAACGGCGCGCCTGATCCCGTGTAGGCAAACGAACGATCGGCGGCGAAGAGAACAATTTAAAAAAAATAAATAAACAAAAATAAGAGAAGGAAACGAAGAAAGAAGATAAGAAAGAAGTCTCCGAAGAAGTCTCCGAGTCGAGAAGCCGTCGAGAGGAACTTGGAGAGAGCGGACTCGCTCGTCGTCGAGGGAGTCGCGGCACGATACTGACGAGTCGCCCGTGGGGCGCGCGGACCTCATGCCGCCAGGATTTCCATCCCCACCGACTACGGCGACGACGGCAGCGTGGCAGCGCGCGGCGCGGCGCACCGTCGACATTCAGCAGGGCCGAGAGTTGATCGACGATTCCAACGCTTTAGATCGTGATCACGACATCGTCGTCCTGAGGACGACGGCGCGTTCTGATAAGAACGAGATAAGAGGTTTATCAACCCTTTCGCAGCCGAGAAACACGTTCTCGCAACACGATACAGTCGAGCGATACGATAACGAGTTGGGTGAGCTAATAGTCACATGAGTAGTTGATTACACACACAGGTTTTCTATAGGAAAAGAGTTAATTAATTTTGGAAACCGTATATATATATATATTCGACATACGCCTGAGTAATCGATTCGTTGCGTACAAAACGTACATTTCGCGAGTTACGAGAGATTCAACAGAACGCTTTTTGTGAAATAAAATGCATTGTATCTCTTTTGTCAATTAAATTAATTAATTAAGTACATAACGGGATAATATATATTTCTAGAGGCTAAAACACTATGTTTGATCACACAGGTCTATGTTATAAAAAGATATATATGGTTATCTTTAGTAAGGACGCTTCAGTTTTCACGAGAGATTCTCATTATTATATCGCGTTTCCTATATAGTCTTAGACTTTTTTTTTTTTTTCTACGTGAGTAATTAGATCGTCGGTGCGAACACACGCACACGTGAACACACGTACGCGACACACAGCGTGGCACAGCGTCTAAAATGAATGAGCTGAGATCGAGAAAATTAGAAGTTGCGCGATCGTGGCGAAAAAAAAGAAAAAAAAAAAAACTAAGGCGCGCAATCTTCGGAGGCTGAATTAGCGGAGAAAGCTGGGTGGTTACACAAAAAAAAAAAAAAGAGGCATTATATTTGGGATTACTTAAACCGTCGTTAAGTCGCCGTTAACGCTAAACGCTGAATAATTCTCGATTTTCGAGCGTCATTAAAGTGTGTGCGCTCCGTTTGAATTTTAATCACTGAAATTAATTGCTATAATCGCATAAAAGGAGGCGGCGATTGCCAGACGATTCAAGCGAAATGCAAATTACGTAAGCGATATCAAAAATGCGTGGATAATAGAGATACAGGGTGACCAAGAACGCGATGATGGAATAATTAATTATGGGAATGTGTGTGTTGTGTATAAAATGCAATTACAGCGTCGGAGCTGTTTGCGGTCTTTTTTTTTCCACGCGGCCAATTAAAATCTAATTTCAGAAATTATCATCGATGTGACTAATTGCAACGCAAATCGACAATGTCTCCTCGCTTTACTCTCGGGTATTCTAAGCAAATCACGGGTTTAATAGATTTCTTGCGAACACACACACTCGCGAGCAAAGGAAGGAATATACTCGAGTAACGGAGATACGGAGCACCGAGATCTTATGCTAGCGGATTCTCTTTCCCGTATCACACACGTAGACATTTTACAAGTTTAAATCAACACGTATCACATATTCCAAAATACATATTAATTTGCCAGAGTAATAACGTTTCTAAATTCGTGCGTTTATTTGCGCACATGCGCCGCATCGTGAAATTTCATCTCGCAAATTCGTCGTGTTTATGTTTCCGAACGCGCTTGTCTCTCTCTAACTCTCTCTCTCTCTCTTTCAAGTTTCTAAAAGTACCCCTCCGGGTTTCGTAAATCTATCGCGGGCGCAATGAAGATAACGTCAAATATTTAAACGCGCGGTTAAGTATTTATTTGCCGATAAAATTCTCCCGCCCCGTAATACTTTGCTCCGAGCGTACTTTACTTACGTGTGTCGCCGATACTGCGTTTCTTCGACTACATCTAAAACCGCAAACGCTCCATTCAGGACGCGCGCACGTTCTCTATCGCTATATGAACTTTCGGTGTGTCACGACTCTCTGATTCTTATCTAGGATTCTTCTCCAGGATCCTACCGTGTGTGCATATTATATATATATATATATATACGTGTTGTCGTATTATTATCACGTTTACGCTACACGTGCGCATATGCAGACTGACTCAAACTCTTACTTTCTAATCGTTATTAATTGCAGCACGAGGACAAGGAGTAATTATACGGTTTTAAACTTGAAGTTCGCGCACAAATTCGTAAGAGAGAAACGCGTGAAAATTGCGATCTAAAAAGCGTGTACGAAAAAGAGAAATTTCGTAAAACCCAAAATGATGATGATGATGATAATAATAATAATAATAATAATAATATGTTAAGGACGTGCGAAATATTTCATTTTTGCGTTTGCGATCAACAACAGCTTGTCTAGTCCAATCTAGTCTTTGCTGCTTTCACTTTTTCTTATTCTTACGTAGTCTCATAGTCACAGACGTATTTAACTCTTCTATTAATTCGAGTTTTGTTCTTCTCATCTCGAATGACATCATAATGCGCGTTACGAAATAGTAAGTAAGTTAACGTATCTCTTTGATACCGCGAAAGAAATTCAATTTTATCGCCTTCCAAATTCGTCAGAGACTTGACGTTTCTAAAGATCGATCGCAAAAATCTTACGAAACGAGTTCTTTACTGTTTCAAGTACTCCGCACGCACGCGCTTTCTCTCGCTCGGTAAGATGTATTGAAGCTGATATAATAAAAAAAAAAAAAAAAAAAAAAACACAGCAACTAGTACCTATTCTCGTTTCAATGTCAAAGGCGTGAAACAGTTTCAATGAGAAAACGTCAATAGTTCAATTAAAACTTTGACGAGGATCAAAACCAACTGATCGCTTTCTTTTTCTTTTTCACTTTCTTTTTTTTTTTCGCAATATATACTTCTCGATTCTCGTTCTTGACTCTTCGAACCAAAATTAAATTTATTTATTACCGTTTAAAAAAAAAATTTTCTCATAAGGTGATACGAAAAAAAAGTTGTGCGAAAAAGACCGGTGCGAATCGAGTTCGTGCGATGGAAAGTCATGTTCGAATCGCGAACTGAAAGATTACAAAGAGGAAATGCATGCGAGAACGCCTCGGGGTGATGTAGTCATACCCGACTAGACATCCGGAACGTTTTGCGAATTGCACCGTGAGGGTCACGTATTAAACTGATGCCATATTGTGTGCGGGCAGAATCTCGCGCGCGGAGGAGAACCGCATGGCGCGCGCAACAGCTAGCTTTTCGATCGTTTCTCGCGATGCGACGTACCGATAGCTCTCGACCGTATAGTAAGCGCTATTGCCCACAGTGAATGACACGGTCTCCCACGCCTCTCTATCCGTCTTCTATCGGGTTGCGAGCGCGCGGTCGAGAGGAAGTGTCTTCTCCTCCGTGGCAGAGAGCGAGAGGCAGGCGACCCGCATCCTTTTACCGATGGACGCGCATCGCGCGCGCGCGCCAGTAAACTCACTTTCATCTGTGATATTAAGCCGAGCCAAGGCGAGCGAACGAAGGCAAGCGATTCGCCTTTCGATTCGGTCGTGACACGATCGAAACCCGACCGTCGTCCATAAACGTCCTCGGACGATTAACCCCGGGGTGTTTGTTTGACACCGAGACGAGAGCAGGCATCAGGAAAGAAGCGAAAATGCTATCTTCCGAGTTCACGGCACAAAATATCGATGGCATCTCCTACACGTCGCGCCGTGGGCATTGCAATTTCCAGATTGCGATTTACACGTAACCGAAATCGCGGAGAGAGATCCGACAACGAACAAAGTTTCAGGGGTTTTTGTTTGGAGAAATATTTTATATTTGCACACACATTCTCTTTCTGATATATTTTATAATATACTTAATGTATATGTGTATTTGGTCGGATGAGGTTGTGCTGCAATACGTAATGATCCTATATATAAAAAAATCCACTGTCTGCTAGTCCTATATAAAAAAAATCCATATGTACCATGAAGTGCGTGTTTTTATATCAAATATATCGCATCTATTTTTGCCTCTTGGTTGGTTGGTCGAGTCGAGTCAAGATCGAATCAAATCAGTAAAATCGAGACAGTAAATATTAACAGAAAATTAAAAACGTGACTAAAGTAAAGTCGCGTGACAAGAAAGAATAGAAAAACAACACATGATTAAAGTAACGTGACTGTAATTTATATTATATATAACATTTTTTTAATATAATATATATATATATTATACATATATAATTTATTATTTATTATTTATATTTATACTATTATATTTTATATTGCATTATATGTATTACATATATACTACAGTAAAATCACTGACCTCAGTCGCGTGACCGCGGCGGGGTCACTGACCTCAGTCGCGTGACTGCGGCGGGGTCACTGACCCGGCCGCGCGGCCTTGGCGGGGTCACTGACCTCAGTCGCGTGACCGCGGCGGGGTCACTGACCTCGGTCGCGCGGCCTTGGCGGGGTCACTGACCTCGGCCGCGCGATCTTGGCGGGGTCACTGATCTTGGCCGGGTGACCGCGGCGGAGTTTCTGACTTTGGTCACGTGTGATTATTGTATATATATACCCTAATAGGCAAATTGTGAAAATATTGCACAAAAATGGCATCGTGAATAACGACGATTCTGAAATGATTGCACTAAGATGATTCGCCGTAACGCAACAGTTTTGTCGAAATACAATTTTATAAATAATATTTGTCAAAAATTGAGTTGTGATTTTTTCATATGTGTGCAATTATATTTCTACATATTTTAAACATCATATATATATAGCTGAAATTTTTTCTTCAATTAGACAATTTCTTTTTGAAATTAAGTTTGCAAAATATACTGTTAAGATGATTCGTAATATCGTTATTCTTTTGCCGAAATAGTATTTGAAAAGTAATTTTGGAAACAACTACAAATATTTTATAAAAGATCAATGTTTTTACATCTATTTTCTTAAATATATCTATATAATTGCAAATTACAATTTTGTGCAAGATTTTGTCACATAATTTTGTAAATGTTTTCGTATCAGGATATATACATGTGTGTATGTATTATATAT